TTCCCCCCCCCCCCGCCCTCTGTTTGAGACAAGGCACTTGATGATATATATATTTTTTTTTTTGGAGAGGGGGGAGGGAAGGGGCAGAACTTCACTACGTAGATATCGTTCCAGCTTCCTTCCCGTCACGAAATTGAAAAAGTAAATGTTAACCTCGATTCGTTCGTTCATTGACACTCCTGCCACAGATTTATATGAAACCGTATTGCCTTCCTCAAGGGAATCATCCTTCCCAGCAACCATTGCAACACTCACACAAGCCACTTTCTCAAGCCTTTTTTCGCATTGAACAACTGGTAAGGACTGGGAACGACCGTGCAAGATCGCAAGAGTGTGTTAAGAGTGTGTAGACATGCAGTGCGATCGATTTGGACGTTCAAACTGACCGAGAGTTGGGGCGAGTCCAAAAAAATGATTCCAAGGGAGAGGTGCCCTGCAGGCTATGACTAAGGAAAAAACTTCTTTAATTAAGGGATATTCTGATGTTTTATAATTTAAAAGCAAACCTACTTTTGGAATAACTTTGAGATAGTCCCCTTGGTCTACAGCGGTTTTCGCTTCGCAATTACATGCGGAAATATCGCGCAAAAAAAGTGTTGTACACATGAAGATTATAGACTGATTATTCTGAAAGCTAATTAAGTCTTCGCTGGTTTATTCGATCAGTCCTGATTAACCACCAGCGAAAATAAGGTATTTTTAAGTAGGAGGTTAATACGTAAGCATCAATGATTAAAGAAACCTTACCATAGCTCTTATAACCTTTCCACCGATTGTCACAGTAACTGCAATGTAGTGAGAGCAGTACATTGATGTCGGGTTATTCCTCGTGAAAGAAGAAAGCAAAGACGTTTTTCCGACTCCTCCGTCACCAACTACAACTATCTTGTACAGATAATCATATTGATCTTTTTTAGCCTTGGCCATGACGCTTGAAAGAAAAAGATTTCCGCACACAGCAATAAGGTCAGTGAACTAAATGGATGATGCGGAAATTCTTTAGATCTTTGCCACTACTAACGCGAGTTCTCATTGGCTATCAGCGAGTAGTGTTGATTTAGTTTCCATCTACTGAAATGGCTGACGAGGGAACAGGACGTTTGGCGGGCGCGTTTTAAGGTTTGTAACTGTTGTAGGGATTGTTGATAGTCAATATTGCAGCAGGAATTCCTTAACTACAGCCTAACAATGTATGAAACAACAGTGATGTTGGCAAGTAAAGTAAAAGAAACTACTTTTCCAGTGGTGTTTTTAAATTCATTCCTCTGCCTCAGGCCAAACTTACTATCACATTATATCGTTTACTTTAGCAGCTTTTGTTCTTCACTATGCTGCCAATTAGCTACTTACACAAGACCTAAGCAGATAGATACTCCCAGTGCATTTTTACCACGGTACATGTAACATATTTACATTAAACAGCTGTGGATACTCTGAATAATAAAGTTTCCATCCAAAACAGCAGACTTTGTTTCATAAAGGAGCCTGCACAGATATGATCTGAAACAACTTAATCCACGAAACTATAAAAGAGGAGTAATGTAATCAAAGCTGGGAAGATCTAGGCTAGCACCTAACATCGCATGAGAGTCAAGACGTAATTCCGTCAGTCAGTTCCAGGCTCAAAGATAGCAGGGAAATTGCGCACAAACCGCGTGGGGGCTGAGGAGAGACGCTTTGCCGTTTTTTGCTCTCTTGGCTTTTCGCTGCTTGACCGCTTTTTT